GGCCCCCAGTCCTGCCGGCACCCATCACCTGTTGCCAGGACCAGAGGGAGGCTGGCGCAGGTCCTGACCTGGGCTTGACCCCACTTTGACCCCATCTTGACCCGGCTCTGATCACGACCCAGGAGGGATCCTGACCGCAGGCCTTGAGGCTTCTCCTGCAGAGGCTCGGCCCATCCCTGCCCATGCCCGGTCTGAGCACTGCCTTGACCACTGTTCCGATCTGGAAAAATGGGAAAGGATTTTTTAAAAAGGTAATTCATAAAAGAGGTAATTAAAATGCCCACATAAAAGAAAAAACTGTTTAATTAGTTATCTGGAAAATGAAATAGAAATTTCAGCCATCAAATTGCATAAAGACCTGAAGAGCAACTATAAAACGGTAGAGACAGTGAGGGAGGAGGGTAAGAAATGTCCGAGTGGGAGAAAGAGAATCAATTTAAATAAAAAATGGACAAATTCTGCTGCTGCTGATCTATATGGTAGTATCTTTAGACAAAAATACAGTGCATTCATGTTGTGAAAATCCATTTTGTATATTGTAAAGATGTACAGTGATTGAATGTAAAAAATACAAAAGTAGAGAAAAAATTTCATTTTATTTTTATATGTATATTTTATTTCATTTTAAATTTTTTATACATTCAATTATATACATCACTTAGCTTGTAAAGTGAATGTTACAACACGAATACATTTCTCACCAGTCCAGTTGGGTATACTATATGTGTATCATCAAAATAAAATCTTGATTTTAAAACCAAAAAAAAAAATGCATTAGCTCTTCCAGTCTCTATATTGAGATGTAACTTTTCCCCAGTACTAATGTACTTTATTATTTATTGAATGCAAGTCTTTATCTAATAGATCAGATTGTATGACCCTTGGTTTCCTTAATAACAAGACTGATTAGTAAATTGGGTTTTCAGTGTATACTATGTGCAGTGCTACTTTTCTTACTCTTGTGCCTAGACTTTGCAGTGAATAAAATAATGTTATCTGGAGTTTACAGCCTAGTGATGATGACGAAATATAAAGAAGTAAATGTAAAAGGCAGAGGCTCACCTTTTCACAAACATTTTCCCTCTATATTCTGGTTATCAGTCCCATATCTGAAGCATAATTTACAAATATATTCTCCCATTTAGAGGCTTGTCTTTTCACTCTAGTTATTTTATTTTATTTTATTTTTTTACTGTGCAAAAGATTTTTAAGCTCATGTAATCCCACATGTCTATTTTTTAGATTATTGCCTCCACTTTGGGAGTCTTATTTAAAAAGTCTTTGCCAATTCTGACATCTCCAAGAGTTTCCCCTGTGTTTTCTACCAGTGGTATTATAGTTTGAGATTTTGCAATTGGATATTTGGTCTATTTTTAGTGGAGTTTTGTTAGTAGTGAGAGTTAGGGGTCCAGTTTCCTTTTTCTGCAGGTAGATATCCAGTTTTGTCAGCAACATTTCCTGAAGAGATTTTCTTTTTCCCAGTGGATTACCTTGTGCCCTCTGTTGAAAATCAGTTTACTGTATGTTTTAGGGTTATTTCTGAGTTTTCTATTCCATTTCACTGGTCAATGTGCATGTTTTTGGGCCAGTACCATGCTGTTTTGACTATCACAGCTTTGTAATATATTCGAGGTTAGGAAGTGAGATGCCTCCTACTTTATTATTTTTGCACAGTATTGCTTTGGTGATATGGGGCCTTTTTTTTTAATTTTTGGAGAGTTTTTTTTGCTATAGGGTGAGTGCACTCGCCAGACAGAGACAGAAAGCAAGAAATCACCCCCTGGAGGGATGGCCATGCCACAATTCCTTCTCCTCCATTCTCCTCTCAGGATCTTGGGCACACACGCACATGTGCCCGGTGTGAGTTTTAAGCCACTGGGTCCGGGACGTGAACCACTGTTGACTACGTGGGAGTCCAGCGACATAGCCATTACGCGAACTGCTGGTTCTATGGGGCCTTTTCTGATTATAAAAAAAAAAAGATTTCTTTTTACTAATTATGTAAAGAATGCCTCAGGTATTTTGACTGGGATTGCATTAAATTTATAACTTAATATGGGTAGAATCAACATGTTGCTTATATTTATTCTTCCAATCCAGGAACATGGGCTATCCTTCCACTTTTTTTTTCATTTTCACTCCTTTTTAATGTTTTTCATAATTTTCATAATTTTCCTTGTAGAGATCTTTGACTTCTTTGCTTAGGTTTATTCCTAGGTGTATTGTTTTTTTGTACCTATTATAAATAGAATGCTTTATTCAATTCAACTTCAGTCTGCTCACCTTTGTGTATAAAAATGCTAAAGATTTTTGTGTTTTGATTTTGTACTCAGACACTTTACTACAATCATTTGTCACTTGTCACTTGAAGGAGTTTTTTCTTTCTTTTTTTCTTTCTTTTCTTTCTTTCTTTCTTTCTTTCTTTTCTTTTTTTTTGCAGATTTGTTTGGATTTTCTGTGTGTATAATCATGTTATCTCCAAATAGAAATAATTTTACTTCTTTTTTTCCTACTTGAATGCCTTTTAGTTTATTCTCTTTTCTTATTGCATTGGCTAGGACATTCAGTAATATATTGGAAAAAAATGGAGAAAGAGGGCAGCCTTGTCTTGTTCCAGTTTTTCCTCATTTAGTATGATTTTAGCTATGAGTTTTTCATATATGGCTTTTATGATGCTGAGAAAAGTCCCTTCTGGGAACCAGCAGTTAGCGTAATGGCTATGTCGCTGGACTCCCACATAGTCGACTGCGGTTCGCGTCCCGGACCTGGTGGCTTAAAACTCACGCCGGGTGCCTGTGCGTGCGTGCCCAAGATCCCGAGAGGAGACTGGAGGAGAAGGGATTGCGGCGTGACCATCCCCCCTGGGGGGTGATTTCTCACTTTCTGTCTCTATGTCTCTCTGTCTGGTGAGTGCACACGCCCTATAGCAAAAACTTCTCAAAAAAAAAAAAAGTCCCTTCTTTGTTGATTTTGTAGAGAGACCTAATCATAAAGGGATGGTGTATTTTATCAAATGTTTTTTTCTGCGTCCAGGATTCCCGTAGGCTGGAGGGTTGGAGGAGGGTGATCTGAGCATAACCAGACCCTCTAGAGGGTGCTTCTCTCTCTCTCCCTTTCTCTGATTTTTTTCTTTCTTTTTTTTTTCCCAAAGAGCCTACAGTCTCACTAGAAAGAGACAAAGACACACAAAAAGAGGCAAAAAGAGGGAGAAAAAATAATGTATACCATATGGGGTATGGTCACACCACAATTCCTTCTCTTCCATTGCTCTACCCTGTAAGGATTTGGGGCATGCATACACATGTGCTTGGTGTGTGTTTCTTTTTTGTATGTGCTTTATTCTTTTTTATTTTATTTTATTTTTATTTATCTTTTTTCACATTTTTATTTCATTTTCTTTTATACATTCAATTACATTATTTAGCTCATAAAGTGAATAATATTTTAACAGGAGAACATTTCTCCCTAGTCTAGTTGATAAAACTATAAAATATCATCAACGGATAATACCACATATAACCACTGGGTCCAGAATTTGAACTATGCAGTCAACCATGTGGGATCCAGTTCACCTTATCCATTAAGTTATGATACTGCCCTACTCGCTCCTTTCTCTCATGTGTATCCACATATGCTCTATCATGAACAAAAAAAAGTTATAAAGAGACTATACATTGTTATAAGAATTAACATATACCATGTTGATTCATAAAAGCAATGTTTCTCCACTTATTTAAGACTTGTTTAATCTTTTACAACATTTTGTAGGTTTCATCTGTCAAAAATAAAGATATCTTAGTGAAAGTGGTGGGAACAGATTTTATTCAGTGACTATTTACAGTAGGTCAAAGAGCTGAGCTCCATTCCAATCTGGGCAGAGGTGAGTGGGCATTTTCAACAGATGAGGAAATGAAGAGGAGTGAGAAAGCTCACATGCAAAGTTGGTCATTGTAAACAGGAACATGCCAACAGTGGTTGAAATTACAATTCCATCCCCCTTCAGGAGGGAGAGAAATGTTCTGTATTCCTGATGATGACGATATGTGGTCTTTCTAATGCAGTGTTGAATTTTATTTTATTTTATTTTATATTTTATTCTAAATATTTATTTATTTTTGCTGGTTTCAACTGCATAGTTATTTGTGTCTCCAAGAGCTGTCACTGGAATAAAGAATAAAGAAAAAAAGCCAAGTATTGAAATTCTCAATAAATAATGTAGCAAGACTGGACTATTGTTGGGAAACAAACGAACAAACAAAAAAAAGGAGGGCTAAGGGGCTGCTAAGGTTGGACACACAAATATCAAAGGACATTGACATCAAGATAATGCAAAGTGATGTATGTCCTAGCAAAGCAAGGCCTTGGGAAATAATGACTAGCTAATTTTCAGTGTACTCAAAAGATTTTTTTTGTATGTATGTATTCCTTTTTTTCTCTGGGTAGTATTTATTCTGTTGCTGTTCTATTATGAATAACATTGCCATAGATATTCTTGAAAAATCTCTTTTGGTAGACATAAGCACTCATTTCTATGTGTACATGAACACATAGGAACGTGGTCACTGGATCATAAGCGTGGGTATATGCATAGTGTATACTGCCAGCTTTCCAAAGCAGGTGAACCAATATACACACCTGCTTGCCATCGAGGATAGTTACACTCGTTCTACATCCTTTCCAACCCTTAGTAATGCTGGTAGACTTCTGTTCCCGTAGACATTCTAGTAAGGGTGAGATGGTATCTCATTGAGA